GACCTGATGATCTGTGGAAGGTCTGGTATTCCAGTTGTGGTGGAGGAAACAGGCTGGTGAATATGTTCATCTGTGTTCTGGCACATTCACAAATGCACAGAGTGGAGGAGGAAAGAGATCTGTGGTTATCAGGTCAAAGTGAACATTGTGCTTCCCACAGAAAAGAGATTTCCAGGGCAAGTAGTTTCAGATTTCACAGGAGATCCGATTCTTTCCAACACCCTGATTTATATGTGTGTAATTTGCAAAAGAGGAACAGAGTTGAAATTCATATCACGATTTATTAATTGTTGTTTTTCTTTATGTCATCTAATACCATTAAAATAAAAAAAACAAATCTATATCTATTTTCAGGTGAGCAAATAATATGTGTGTCTACTGGTTTGGGTGTACACGGACATCATTTCACCATCACTCTGGCAATCCCAAATGAAGTCAAGTATATTTGGGCCTCTTGGTGCAGAGGAAACAGACTAGAAAAGAAAAACAGGACAAAGAACACTGGTCACCTCTAGGCTGTGGTGTTTTGGGTGAGTACACTGTTTTCTACTCATTCTCCTTTCAAAAACAAGTTGTGTATGACAGTGAAGTTTATCATCTTATAAAAATGAAGTTGAGAAAACCTTTTCAAGGAGAGACTCCCACTGTAGATGTATGGCATGGCGACATCGGTGTAGGACTGAGTGTTATTCCAACATGGTAGAAAAGATCTTGAGGAGCCATGGTGGTGCAGTGGTTAAAGTGCTCAGCTACGAACCAAAAGGTTGTTGGTTCCAGCCACTACATGGGACAAAGATGTGGCAGTCAGCTTCCATAAAGATTACAATCTTTGTAAACATATGGGGCAGTTCTACTCTTCGTATAGGGTCGCTATGAGTCAGAATTGACTCTACAACAATGGCAATGGGTTTTTGATATTATTATATTTCAGGGGATCTGATTCTCTAAGATCTGATTCTTGGCAGCATCCATGAATTGTAGGTGTGTATTTTCCAAAAGAGGAACATAGTTGAAATTCATATCAAACTGGCTTTTCAGTGACGTGTAAGAAAGCTCAAGTTGGAATGTTCCCTGCTAATCAGTGGGACGCTGGGTGGGTGAACTCTGAGGAGGAATGCAGTCTATTTCTTGTGGACTCAGCCAAGCTGGAGTGCTAAGGATACAGACTTGGAAGGCTTTAAGTCTGTCCACCCACAGGGTGCCTGGGTGGGGAGTCATTCCTCCTCCTCAGGAAGGAAGGAAACCTAACTGCCCCCCCCATAGAGGCAAGGGCTTGAGAGACTTGGCACAAGATTTAGGGTTGGAGCCCCCAAAGTGGAGAAGATCCTGAGGCACCATACTTTTGGGAAACTGGAGACTGGTTGGCGTTTTTTCAATAGCAAAAGGCGGAGTGTAAGGACCTGGGTGACGAGTGCACAGGTATTTCTGGTGTTATACTGCCATCAAGCAGATATTGTCTCCAAAGCCAAGGTATACACTGTTGTTGCTTCCTTGAGAGGCCTGGGACTAGAGGAAGTCAGGGTCCTAGGCATCCCATTCAAAGAAAATATATACATTACCATTGTATTAGGACAACTTCCAATCCTGATCCTCTCTCCTTTTACCCCTCATCCCAACCTTCCTTTTTTTGTGTACCACATGTCTAGAGCTCCCTGCGTCATGGGACAAGTGTGGCCTAAGGTGGGAGCCTATGCAAGAAGCTAGGGAGGTGGGCCCAGACAAGACAGACAGCTATGGTGCCAGGCACCAGGATACAGGAAACCAAGGCTCAGCCCTTGGTGGCCACCATGTCTGGGTGGGACTACTGCAACCTTCTGAGAAGGTACCTCATCACTGGGCTGATGTATGAACAGATCTGTCTTGGAAGAAGTACAGCCAGAATACTTAGAAACAAGGATGGCGAGATTTTGTCTCACATTCTTTGGACATGTTATCTGAAGGGACCAGTCCCTGGAGAAGGACATCATGGGAAGACCCTCAACGAGATGGATTGACACAGTGGCTGCAACAGTGGACTCTAGCATAACAATTGTGAGGATGGCGAAGGACCGGACAATGTTTTGTTCTGTTGCGCATAGGGTCGCTATGAGTCAGAAGCAACTAGACAGCACCTAACGACAAGCTTGCAAAAGAGAAACAAAGGTGAAATTCATATCAAACTGGCTTTTCAGATAGGTGTAAGACAGTCAAGTTGGAATGCGCCCCACTGGAAGTGGGGCTCTGGGTGGCTAGAACTCTGTGCAGGAACGCAATCTGTCTCTTGAGATATCCGCCAAGCTGGAGCGCTAAGGATACAGACTTGGATGGCTTTAACTCTGTCCACCCACGGGGCGACTAGATGAGGAGTTATTCCTCCTCATCAGGAAGGAAGGATACCTAACGCCCCCCTATAGAGGAAAGGACTTGAGAGACTGGGCAAAAGATAAGGGGTTAGAGCCCCAAAAGTGAAGAAGATGGCAAAGCACCTTACTTTAGAGAAGCTGGAGACTGGTTGACATTTTTTCTAATGGCGAAGGGCGGAGTATGAGGGCCTGCAGAAAGACCAAACAGGTATTTGTGGTGCAATACTGCCATCAAGTGGATATTGTTTCCGAAGACCATGGCTCTATCATTGTTGCTTCCTGGAGAGGCCTAGGATTAGAGGAAGTCTAGGCATCCCATTCAAGGAAAATATATACATTACCATTGTATTAGGACCACTTCCAATCCTGGTCCTCTCTTTCCTTTCATCCCTCATCACAATTTTCCTTATACTGGGGTACCACATGCCCAGAGCTCCCTGAGTCATGGGACAAGGGTGGGAGCCTACCCAAGAAGCTGGAGAGGTGGGTCAGATTGAGACAGCCAGCCATGGTGCCTGGCATTTATGATACAGGGAGCCACTGCTCAGCCCTTGATGGCCACCATGTCTGGGCAGGATTAGTGCATGTCTGGGAAGGCAATTGAGCAGTGACCTGGTATATGAACAAATCTGTCTTAGAAGAAGTACAGCCAGAATGCTCTTTGGAAGCGAGGATGGCAAGACTTGTCTCATGTACTTTGGACATGTTATCAAGAGGGACCAGTCCCTGGAGAAAGACATCATGCTTGGTAGAGAGTCAACAAAAAAGAGGAAGTCCCTCAATGAGATGGATTGACACAGTGGCTGCAATGATGGGCTCAAGCATAGCAACCTTTGTGAGGATGGCACAGGACCAGGCAGTGTTTCCTTCTGTTGTACAAGGGTCTCTGTGAGTCTGATTTGACTCATTGGCAACTAACAACATAACAACAAGTTTGCAAAAGGGGAACAAAGGTGAAATCCTTATCAAACTGGCTTTTCAGATAGGTGTAAGGATGTTCCCCAGTGAAAGTGGGGCGCTGGGTGGCTGGAACTCTGTGCAGGAACGCAATCTGTCTCTTGAGATATCCGCTAAGCTGGGGTGCTAAGGATACAGACTTGGATGGCTTTAATTCTGTACACCAACAGGGCGCCTGGGTAAGGAGTTATTACTCCTCCTCAGGAAGGAAGGAAACCTAACGCCCCCTTGTAGAGGCAAGGGCTTGAGACTCAGCCCAAGATATAGGGTTGGAGCCCCAAAAGTGAAGAGGTTCGCCAGGCAGGATACTTTAGGGAAGTGGAGGCTGGTTGGTGTTTTTTTTCAACAGCAAAGGGCGGAGTGTGAGGGCATGGCAGGAGGCGCACACAGGTATTTGTGGTGCAATACTGCCGTCAAGTGGATATTGTTTCTGAAGACCGTGGAACCACCATTATTGCCTCCTGAGGAGACCTGGGATTAGAGAAAGTCAGGGTCCTGGGCATCCCATTCAAACAAAACATATACTTTATCATTGTATTAGGACCACTTCCAATCCTGGTCCTCTCTCTCCTTCCACCCCTCATCCTAACTTTCCTTATAGTGGGGTACCACACAATGGGCTCAAACATAACAATGATTGTGAGGATGGTGCAGGCCTGGGCAGTGTTTTGTTCTGTTGTACATAGGGTTGCTATGAGTCTGAATCTACTTGATGGCACCTAACAACAACAACATAACTTTACAGTTCTGATAGTTTGAGTGTGTGTATAGATATATTTTCTATTGTACAAGTCAATCCTTGGGTAAGTAGTTGGGTGAATTATCACAGGTCCACGTCCTACAGTGAGTACTCTTGTTACACAGTGTGGTTGATATCTATAAGGCCATATGAGAAGGAGCTCCTTCATATTTACAAATGAGTCAAAGGAGTTGATGATCCCCTGAAGGTCGGGTATTCCATTTGTGGTGGAGGAAACAGACTTGGGAATACATTCCCATATGTTCTCCCGTAGTCACACAAGCATGGAGGAGCAGGGAAGATCAGTGACTATACAAGTCAACTTGAGGATTGTGCTTCCCAAAGAAAAAGCGATTATCAGGAAGATATGTTTATATTTCAGAGCATCTGGTTCTCTACGATCTGATTCTTGGCAGCATCCATGAATTGAAGGTGTGTACTTCCCAAAACAGGAACAAAGTTGAAATTCATATCAAATTGGCTTTTCAGAAAGGTGTAAGAAAGCTCAAAGTGGAATGTTCCTGGTGGGCACTCAGGCGCTGGGTGGCTGGAACTCTGTGAAGTGATGCAGTCCGTTTCTTGAGGTCTCAGTTAAGCTGGAGTATTAAGGATGCAGATATGGATGGCATTAGATCTGTCCACCTATAGGACTCCTGGGTGGGGAGGAGTTTCTCCTAGTCTGGAATTAAGTAAAACTTATACCCCCTTACAGAGGCAAGGGCTTGTGAGACTGAGCACAAGATATGGGAGCTGGAGCCCCAAACATGGACAAGATGGTGATGTGCCCTGCTTTAGAGAGGCTGCGAACATTGGTTGGTAGTTCTCTTCCACACCCCCAAAGCAAAGAGTGGAGTTGGGGGGCGGGGAGAATGCTCAGGTATTTCTAGTGCAATATTGCCATCAAGCGGAAATGGTTGCCAAAGCCAACGGACCCACTATTGTTTATTGGGGAGTCCTGGGATTAGAGGAAGTCAGGATCCTAGGCATAACCAAACACAGGGTTGTGCACGTCCAGAGCTCCCTGAGTCACGGGGCAAGTGATGTCCACGACAGGAGCCTACCCAAGAAGCTCGGGGGGTATGCCAGGACAACGTGGACAGCCATGGTGCCAGTCATATCGGGCACAGGAAGCCAAGGTTTAGCCCATGGTGGCCGCCACATCTGGGTGAGACTAGTGCAAGACCCTGGGAAGGCACCAAAGCACTAGGGTGTAAGCAATTTGCCTCATACCCCTGGCCCTAAGAGCAGAAGGTGGATCAACCTTTCCGGGCCCAGGGCCACAGGAGCCTTCCTTGGCTGCTGGAAACCCCAGTGAAAGACCATGCCATGCCCCCAACCCACCCCACCCCTCCTCACATCACAGGACCTATCCAAGAGATAGGAGACCTGGTGGTGCAGTGGTTAAGAGCTCGGCTGCTAACCAAAAGATTACAAGTTTGAATCCACCATCTGCTCCTTGGAAACCCTATGGGCCAGTTCTATTCTCTCTTCT